AAGCGCCATTTTATAAAATATAGATATTTTGATATTGTGTTTAATTTTATTTCAACTTTTTTTAAAAGTGACATAAAGTTGCAGGCTTCTATCGTATCTCCGAAGCCACGAATATTGATAGCAGCATATTGATAGAGCGTATCCCCAAATCAGTTTTCACGGAATCTTACATTACTTTCTGGAAATAATTGTGACGTGTGATCACGATAATTGCAAGGGAAATACGCAATGACTGAATACAGGTCATATACCGGAATGTATAAAATATTTCCTCGTACAAATGTTTTATTAATGTTCAAAGAATATATAATTATAACTTTAAGAAAACGTAAATATCAACTTAAACTTGCTAAAATAGAAGTTCGAATGTATTTTTTTTCAAATTTAATGTGGGAATCATTAAAATTGGTTCACAATCTGCGAAGATATCGCGTAACATACATACTATTAAAAAACCTTCACTTGAATTGAGGACCTCCTACTTTTTGAAGACGGTTAAAAATAAAAGGCAAGAATTAATAATTAAACACTCAAAATTAAAAAGTCAGATAAAAATTTAAATTTTTTACTCCCCAAATAAAATATGATTATCTTTGTGTACCAGTACCGTATGCATAGTTTCGATTGTAATGCCCTAATTAATAATTAATTTAAATAGTAATTATTTATTCAGGCAAATGAACAGTATGTATTTTAAAAATAAAATAAATGAACCAATTTTTTTAATCACCTAACATTTTAGATTAACAAAAGCGGCGTTGAAGCGTCAACAATTTCTAATTATTTAGCTCATCTGAATTCAGGTAGACGATAAAGGGTAAGGAATGAATCTCGGCTTATTGGAATGAAGCTTTACCCACAATTGTGTAGAGCGGGGTCAAGAATTCCACTTAGTTTATTCCTCCGATGCTGCCCACAATATAGACGAAGATTGAAATTATTTCGCAATATAATAATGAGTCCAGAATGTAGTTAGGGTTGCTAAGGTACATCAAGGATGTTTACTAACGCATTTAATTTTTTTTAATTTTTTTTTTAGTAAATAAGTAACATCTCTACGTAAAATCCGCGACAGCAACAAGATTGTACTCAAAATGTTTAGGAGCCGATGTGACTGACACTTTCAGGCACACTGGGTGGCAGCTGCTATTGGCAAACCTAAATAACTAGGGTATAATTTATTTAAGTTTTAAATTTAGTTGTTCAAATATTTATGACTTGATAGAGCTAAGTGTTAAGCGAAGAAGCCAATCATAAGGCTGTGAAGAGAATCTGATCGAATCCCGAACGAAACAGAAGTGCAATGTAAATCTGGTTAGAAATGTATGCCAATTCCTCACCGATTACTCCGCAAATGCTTTATGTATTTTCCAATGTGACAATATTTTGCAACCTTAAATGAAATAATAATATGAAAAAATAACCGCTTAGATTCGATATTGACATATTTACGCAAAACGACGAAACCAAACTAGAAAACGAAATCAAAACGGATATAAACACGATTTTCACAAAAGCTACTTAATCTTATTGCAGGTCTATTCCTGCCGGCTTACTCCCGACGGAATCCAATAATAAATTATTTGATATTAATCGAACTCGATTTGATTATCAATAGAATGCTTTTTCTTGTGTAAATTTTTTCAATTAAAATAATGGCAATGCTGTTGACATTACAAATATGCCCTATATATTTACTGGAAACGAGGCATTCCATCACGTTATTGTATCTTCTAAGAAATTTTATTGTTGGTTAAACTACCGCCATCTAGCGCTTGTAAGCAAAATGGCGATCGTAAGCGGTAAGCGCTGTCAAATCATAAGTAGCTATTTTTCTATAGGACACGAAGTTAGATTTAACCGGGGAACCTAACCTAATTTAAATATATGTTTGTAAAGTATTCATATTAAAAACTTACCAATCATGAAATTTAATAACATGTATATGTTTTTTCATGTCATTATATTACTTAAAACTAATATTGCACATAACAACTTATAGACTCTATTTCAAAACAAACAAATTAAATAAACAAAATGGCGGATTGTGTCAGTGCTACTGAAGTTAGCAAACGTGTCCTGGCCGAAAACTGTTTTGTTTCGCCATTTTGCTTACAAGCGCTTGCTAGCGCTTTTTTCTGCCAAATGCACCCATTGATATATGAAACACTTAATACTTTTTTAATTATAGGTGCTCTGGAATCTTGCATTTTAGCTACTTTATGTTAATCAATCAAGATAGGCCGCCACAAAAAATTAGGCATAATTAATAATAATTCTAATGATAGGTATAAAGGAAATACTAAAAAGAAAATCATATTCTATTAAGCAAGTTATTGTTATATTTATTAACTACATTAAAATATTATCATCTACATCATCATCGTCATTACAGCCCTTCATAAGTCTATTGCTGAACATAGGCCTCCCCAAGGTAGGTACATCGACTTCCTGCATGTCTTGCCAGGTTGTCACTCCATCTAGTGGGGGGTCGCCCTACAGTTCGTCTACCGGTAGGAGGCTGCCACTCGAGAACCTTTTTCCCCCATCGGATGTCTGTTCTTCGAGATATATGGCCGGCCCATTGCCACTTCAGCTTACTAATCCGTTGTTATATGTCCGTCACTCTGGTTCTACTGCGGGTATCCTCATTTCTAAGTTTATCCCGCAGAGAAACCACGAGCGTGAAGACTACGTGCTACTCCATGGCTCACAGAGCAATTTTGAGCGTCCTCTTACGGCCAGAAGTGTAGGACCACGTCTCAGTTCCGTAGGTCATCACTGGCAAAACACACTGGTTGTACAGTATCGTTTTCAGGTTTTAAGGTATACCTGACGAGAAGACATGTCGTAATTTCCCAAACGCTGCCCAGCCGAGTTGAATCCATCGAGTGACCTCTCGGCCGAAGTTGGACTTACCAAGTGAGACTTCTTGTCCCAGGTAAACATACTCGTCTACAGCTTCGAGCTTAGTCCCAAACAACTGCCGGCGTAGGTGTGACATGCACTTTACAGATGGTCTTCGTTTTGTCCATGTTCATATTAAGACCTATCCATTGACAGACACTATTGAGGTCATTGAGCATAGTGCTTACGTCCTCCAGCGATTCTGCCATAAGGACTATATCGTCGACAAATCGAAAGTGAGTGATGTTCTCGCCATTGATGTTAATACCGTATCCTTTCCAGCCCAGTAGCTTGGAAACAGTCTTCCAATGCAGCGGTGATGAAAAAACATATCGGTGTTACTAAATTAATTTATTTTGTCTTCCAAAATAATAAATAATAAAAAATCCCTTCATAGTTCTAAATTCAACTTAATTTATATTTGCTACATATATGAGGTTTATATTATAAGGATTAATAGTAAAAAATAGAAGTTTAAAATTTGTTTCATTAGGCAACACTGAAAATAATTGAAAAAAAAATTAAAAAATATGTCCGCTGGATTGTGCATGTGCTTATTTAGTATTTTTGAGTGTTTTATCTTAATTGCTTGCGTATAGCACAAAACAGAGGGCTCAAGAATGTGCTTTAAGGTGGATTTTGTAATGGGTGCAGTGACAAATATAATAAAAGACTTACGAAATAATATGTTCATTTCAACCCTGTAATTTTTATGATGGTTTTTAGTAATTTACTTTCTACATTATGTGCAGACAACATGGAATTTTATAACATGTCACGTTGGTGTTATTTTATTTTCAAAATATCATCTTGTTTAAAATTGTGAAATAAATATACTAAAAATCTTTCTTTTTGCCTAGGTCCTCCAATTTATAGAGAGTATTTATGCCGATTTCTAAGTAACAAACAGTGTTGCCGTAAAACCGGCCATCATTGCCCGCAATTTTACTTAATTTTGAGATTTTGCAAAAATTATTTACCAGAACGCGTAATAAAGTTGATCAATATAGCAATTACTATTAAAAGATTTAAATCACAAAATGTTGAGAACCTGGCTTCAACAGAATTCAAGAAAAACGCGTTTAAATAGCCGGGCTAAATTATACGCACAACCGTCCAACATTGCTCAGTCTTATTTTTTCTAAAACTATCAGTTCTAAGGCTTTGGAAATAAAATATATTATGGTGAATTATGCAAAGTTGCCACTTTTCTTGATCTAAATGTCGAAAACCTTTTATTTTTTATTTCAGTTGGGTGGGCAATGTTATACTACATACCAGCTACATTTTCTTACAAACTAAAACGGTGGCTTAGGGTTGTCACATAATGTGATAAATAATAATCTTTTCATGTTATAAATTTTTGTATTAAAAATCAGTCAGGTACAATAGTTATTCATTGCAGTTATAAGTATTAAGCGCTTTGCGCCCGGAAAGGTTTCCGACAAAATCTTAGAAAGAAAAAAAATTTCAACGCTTCCCGGACACATATAAACAAATAACTAAACTAAGAAAGAAAAAAATAACCTATAAATATAGTGTGCAAACAAAATACTTTTACATAACACAGTACTACTCAAAAATTTTCTAAAAAATCAGTTGTTTCATACATTTTAATCGTGTAGTAGATATTTCAATTTATTTGTTTACACCTTATATTTTTTACTTTAACCAACAGTCTTAATAAAGGAACTTTATAAAAAATATTTGATTGTTGTCATAGCACGTAGATATTTCAAAACTAAGTTGACTCTTAAAGTACTACTTACTACTACACAACAATAACAAAAACTATTATTACAAAAACAATAAGTTCGTAGTAAATAAGAACTTCTGAGAAGTTGTAACTTCTATAAGTTTATTAATAATCAAAATAAATGTAATCGTCATCATCAGCAAGTACAAAATCAGTTTCGGCGTCATTAATTGCTAGAAGCTCAACAGTCTTGACAATATTCTTACAGTCTATTACTTCGATATCCGGTGATTTCACTTTTATAAATTTTGAGTTGTCATTTTTGCCGACTTTTCTTAAGAAAGATACTTTTAACTTGCCATTTTTTGGCTTGTCTAAAATGATTCCCACGTAATAATTAACTTTTTTTTGTAAAAAAATATCTAACCAAAACATATTCGCCTATTTTATACTCTACAGAAACTTCTTCGCGCGTTGAACTAGTCGAGGGTCCTGGTTCTGAAAAATGATCTACTGTTACAGGAACCAGTGGTTCATTCAAACATAAATTAGGACCTGTTTTTGTGATAGTCGCTACTATGTTCTCACTGCCTATAGATAAATTAGAATCATAAGCATCTACAGGAGAACCTGGCTCATCTTGATCGGAAACAATCCCGCATATATCTGAATCACTGTGAATACTCATATCGATATCACTGTTGCTTGATTTACTGTCTCTTCGTTTCAACTTCTTCTTTAAGCCTTTCATATTTTTTTCTTTGGAAACTTTAAAGTCTTTTCTAATTTTTTCCTTTGGTCGCAGCTTAACATTGGATGTTTTTGTTTTTTTAATTTTTTCCGCTTTTGTTGAAATGTTTCTAGACTTTTCTGTGTAAAAAGAAAAATCATTTTGTTTTGCTATTGTTTGTCTAGCTTCAATATTTTCTTTATCATAATCGCTTTGGTAAATAATATTTGACGTACGTTTTGTGGACGGTATAGTTACACAAGATACAATCTTTGGTTTTTGTTTTTCAGTCTTCAATAGGTTAGTGTTTTCTTTACACGAATCATGATTCTTTGGTTTCAAAATAATATTTGTCCGAGCACATTCACGAATGATGGTACCGCTTGAAGCATTTATTTCACATAATGTGGGTGTAATTTGTGAGAGTAAAGTTCCGTTTTTTCGTCTAATATGTCAATTTCAGTAAAAGTTGGTAAAGCTTGATCTTCTGTTGTATGTGTGTTTAAATTGTATTCGTCATTATTTCCTATCATATTATCAATTGTATCATTTTCGTTAACGCTATTTTTGCCTGCCAAGAATGATAAAGAGAAGTTATCACAGAAGTATAGTTCGTCTTTGAATTGATCTAAAATTTTATTCTCTTTGCCGACACTTGCCGTTGAAGGTGTATCGTTCAATATCTGGTTTTTAGCTTTTTGAACAGCGGTACTTTTTATTAGAGCAGATTTGTTTTTTGCGGGACGTTTCTTAGTATCTTTAGTCCGGTTTTGAATATCATCAACTGTAACAGATTTTCCAGGTTCAATCACGACTTTCCTGTTCCTATCTGATGTCAATGGTTTAGACTGTCTGTTAGTTTTTAAATATTCTAATAAAGCACTGTCAATATTATGAGTATTGCCCATTTCTTCGGCACATTCTGGGATTCTTTTCAAAACTTCACGTGGATTAAAAGGGTATATCCCAGTGGCTCTAAAGCCGCTTTATATGTTTTGTACCTCGTTCATTTCAATTGTTTTAATCAATTGCGTAAGCAATTTCGGGAAGTGGTTTTTGTTGATTGCCTTTTGATTTGGGTTTTCCATTTTGTACTGTAATAAGATCTTGCGCCAGGCCTTTTTAAGGGGCGCAAAAAAAGCCACATCAAGGGGTTGGGTGAGATGTGTAGAATTAGGAGGAATAAACACAAAAGATATGTTGTGATCCTGACATAACTCAATGACGCCTAAACTTAAGTGACTGGACAAGTTGTCACATATGACTACTTTTTTACCACTCAAACCCTCTGCCCATGTCAATACAACATTTTTAAAATAATCTTCAAATATTGTGGAATCAAACCATCCGGATGATGTTCGGTTTTATCTTGCACCACGAGGGCCTCTTTGAATCCATTCCGAATATAAATTGTCTGCCTTATATACCACATACGGAGATAGACTAGTACCGTTGGCTGCCGAAGAAAACATTAGCGAAATGGCGCCTTTTGAGGAGTTAAGGACTCGCTCAGGATATTTTACACCCCTGCGAAATATGCACTTAGAAGAACCTGGGTCGTCGCTTAGGTTAGTTTCATCTAGATTTAAAATATTAGATGGAGGAACATCTCTTACAGTTTCTTCTAAATTCTGAAAATATTCTAAGAAATCCTTCGCGCTATTTTGAGCCCGCGCTGTTTTAATATTTTGCGTACTTCTAACAGAAAGTTCACCTGCATGCCGATTAAGAAAACTTGTAACCCAGTCTTTGCCTGGTGGTTTTCCATGAAATAAATTTTCACGATTATTTTTTTTTCAGATATTCAAAAACAGTCAAACGTAAATCAAGCTTCGTTAGTGGGCAACCATATTCGCCGGCTGCAATCAATGCTTGAACAATACTCTTTTCCTCTTGGAAAGAGAGTCGAGTAGGAGTTCCAACATTTTTGTTATGGCACTCTTTCACTTTGTTTAGGATGGTGCGCCTAGGTATATCAAATGTTTTTTCGGCTGTTCCAGAGGACATTCTATTTTCTTTAACATTTTCTACTGCGAGGTGCAGCATCTCCTCTGAATAATTTTTATATGGCCGAGACCCGACGACTCTGCGATTTCTTCTTTTAATAGGCTTTCCCATACTGCAAAAAACATACTAAACTATAGTTTCTGTTTTTCAACAAAGTGACTAGTTATTGAGACATAGACACTACATATTTTTTGTATCGTATTTATCTGTTTCTAGCCAAATCATCTTTAACACAATCCATTCATTGTTTTTTTGGCCGAAAAACTGTTGTCGTAACATATTTATTTTCCATACACCATGACAATCATACAACCGTAAATATAAAATAAAAACAGATTTTATATTTAGTATGGGTGCCAACCCTAACACTATTTTTGAAGTGGGCAATGTTGTCACTCCTGTGTTCACGCAACTTCGGGAATCATTGCCCACCCCGTTATCTTGAAAATGATATGATTTAAAGGTCTCAAACTAGCATAGAAATGAAGCGTAGCACTTATTGTAACACTAAACTTAAAATAACTTACCTGAAAGATGTCGTACGCTGACAGTGTGAAAAAACGTAAAACAAGATTTTTGCACCACCTCACACTAGTCCTACTTCCGACATGTCTTGCCGACAACTGAGTGAACTTTGTAACGTCACGAGCATTTAGTGTTGCCAAAAAAATATTCTAATTTACGCTAAATATTGAAAAATGTTGTCAGCTGTGTAAATTTATTTACAATTCAAAATTTAAGTTATTTTTCGTGTTCGGGCAAAGATATCCGCTAAGGGCAATGATGGCCGGTTTTACGGTTCTTATTGTTATTTAGATGTACTACTCTGTGCTAGAATAGAGGTATATATTATAATATCTATAGTTGAAGTAGTAGTTAATAAACTAACTTTCAGGCGGCGCTGTTGTCGCGGCAAATTTTTACATAAGAGATTCTTATCTATTTCCGTATATACACTTTTATCTATACATTCCATCCTAGTCATCAGGAGTAGTAACTCATTTACATTTTGATTCTTAATCGAGGATAGAATGTAGATGTCTGTGGGCCACAGTATCTACGTACCATCAGGTGGACTGTGTGAGCACACAGTCTATTTTATGGTAAGTGGTAAGTGGTTTGTCACTCTTATTCTATAAAAAATAAATCTGGTTATGCCTAAGGGCGCTGATTATCCTTGATCGTAACTCGATCGTTTTTCTTGCTTTGGAAGTTAGAATTAAAAGCCGAATCAAATTCAAAAACAGTTTCGGAATAAGCCTGCTGGATGATTGTTCATGTGTAATAAATCCATTGTATTTTAAACGCCTCCACGATACAGATACGGGAATAGATCTAAGTGTAAAAGTATATTGAATATGAAAAATAAGATTTTATTTTAGGTCATTGTCTGACCTGCCAGTCATTGCCCTTATTACTCTAAATTAGACAGTTACTCCTCCAAATATGAAAATTATATTCTCACTTTTATTTTAATGTAGTAAGTTTAAAAGCTTTAAAATTATTTAAAAAGAAATATAGGAAGTTTTTGTTTTATGAACTTAACGACTTTAACAATCAAGTTAAGAAGAATATGACGGTTTGTCGTTGTTTTCTTCGCTGTCTGTTTTTATAGTCTTTTACCAAGTTGTAAAGAAAATGTAAAATAAAAGTAAGGATTAAGACAAGGACTTCCATTACGTTTACAGGCTATTAGCGTTTTCCTTCTTCGCTTTATACATATTTGTCTAGCACGAAATAAGCGTGAAACTTTTGGTCGAAAAAGTTATTGTTTTTGAAACGTTTTTGCTTATTATCTATATAGAGACATTATATATATAGAGATATTTGTATCAAACACTATTTAGCAAAATAGCCTAAGTAAAATATTAAGTTTAGTAGCAAGTCTGCTACTAAACTTAATATTTTACTTAGGCTATTTTGCTTAGGCTTTCAGCTCATATAGTCTGTTAAACCGAAGTAGAGTTTACTTTGTTTATAGTTTATTTTAATTTTGTTTTGTATTCTAAATCTTGTTTCGATGTTTTTAGCGCATTACTATTAAATTGTCGTTTTTGCAGTGGGGATTTTAATTTTTTTAATTAATTATTTTATTTAAGACTTTTTAGTGTCCCAGCACACGCTTATGAACATAAACTATGTTACTTATATAAGTCGAGCAAAGCGTAAAGATGATTGATGGCATGCCAAAGAAAACAGAAAAACGAAAGTTACAATTTACGAAAGCTGTTCCATACTTCAAGAGGATTTTGATCGTGTGATTGATGCAGTAACTTTCTAGGATCTAGTGCACTAATCGCTAGACCTGAGAGTGATCTAACTCGGCTCAAAGCGACGTAAGCCTGACTTTTATCGAAAATATTACTACTTAAATAAACAACAGCTCGATTTAAAGTTGTTTCCTGTAATTTATATACTGTCACTGCCCAGCTCAAAATTAGTGGAAGCATACGTCACTCGATCTTTCCTTTACCACGTAAAGCATCAAATTCAGTAGTACAAGGCTCAATGCCGGGTCGGTTGCCAGTTATACTAGAGTCATCAAACTCAAGAAATACAGCTTGAGGCAGTTCTCTTACTTCTATGTTATATGTTACGGATTACCATCATAGCACCATTGACTAGTCCATGACTAACATTTATGTTGCGCCTTAACATTGATCGTGATCCAATGCCAAATTTTATCATGTTTTGTATACGTTTTATTGGGATCGTTATATGTTTTATTGGGATCGTCCGATATATATTTTTCTCGGAGTTTGGCCCTATGTTTTAGGGTCCAGTACATAAATTACAGCCTTACATACAGCTAAACAGAAGAATTTAACTAACTACTTACCAAAATAAGACCATACCACGCAGACAAACTCAGACTAAATATTTTCCTATTTTAATTATAAGCATTAAGTAATGCCTTTTATTGAACTATAATTATACTATATTGTTGGATATAATGCATTACTTATGTTTAAGCGAAAACCGATACCTACTATAACTTAAGAACTCAGATTCAGAATATCAAATCACCTATACAACGCCATCTATGTTAGTGGTGTCGAACTAATTCTATTGTGTAAAGGTTTTTGACGATTTCTCAAAAACTATGCGAGTTAAAAGGCGATGTATTTTTCCTGAAATAAGGGATGTTTATTCATTAAATTTTTCTTCAAAACTTGAAAGTATACAATTTAAAATTTATTGAAAACAATTTATATGTTTCGGTTTAATATGATATTTTTTCATATAATAGCACGAGGTCCGGCACAGACATTGCCCATTTTATAAACCAGCTATCAAAACTTTATAAACCAATTTATTATTCCTAATTAAATATGAACATACAATTTATATTCGATAGGTTCGGTTAATTTTTTTATTAATGTATTACTATTTTGCGCCAAAAATCCGCCATTTTGTTTATTTTTAAGAAGCTATCTAAGAATACTTGGGTTTTTAAAGACCGATTTACACTTCGACAAGTACAGTAGCAAGTTAACTTGCGAACCTGGCGAGCTAAGTTTGAACCTCATTTGAACGACAATAAACGAGTTAATTAGCAAGTTAACGATGAAGTTGAACGGGATAGCCGGCCGAGCTATTTTTCCGCGAGTTAAGTGCGAAGTGCTGCCCTCCCGCGTGTCTCGCGCCAACCGCAACTAAACTCGCCGTTCGTGTAAAGAATAGAACGTAACTAAACTCGCCGTTCGAGTTTAGTTCAGTGCATAAGTTGACAGGACCCAACGTTTGCTCGCCAAAACGTACAATTGTAATTTTATAATTAAACTCGTCACAAAGTTTGCACGATACTGTTTATTGAATATTTATACGTTGTATATTGAGTTTTTATAAAATTGACGGAAGATATCACGTATAAATTTGTACAGGAGTATTAGAACACGAATGTTTATTATATAATAGTAGAACTTCAAATTATAAAATTAAACCTGGTCGAGATGCTGCACTCATGAAAATTCTTAAAAACTTCTTTAACAACAACCATTAATACTTCTCTGACTGGATAATTTAATTATTGACGTAATCCTAGAACCATCTTAAACGAAAACCAGAAAAATTCTGTAGTCTTGAAACGTCATACTCCAACGAACTCTATGAACTAATGTCCTTAACTAAACTTGCCACGAAGACATTGTTTGAACGCTACTGCCTAATTAACCGTTTACTGTCAACTGTCCTATAACTAAACTCACTACTGTAATTGTCGAAGTGTAAATCGGTCTTAAGACGAATAAATAATCCATCCAGCCGTTTGGAAGATACGAGGTAAGTAATAAAGAAATTTACAAACATACTTAAATTTAAACATACAACTTATATATATTTTTGTAATTCCCTTTTAAATTCCTTTATTTTGATATCCTATTCGATGGATTTGGTTATTTTTTTTTATAAACTTATAACTATTTTGCGCCAAAAATTCGCCATTTTGTTTATTTAAAAAAGGCAATCTAAGAACATTTGGGTTCCTAAGACAAATAAAATTGTCGAAATCCATCTAGCCATTTGGAAGATACACATTATGTTCGTCTCTAATGCCTCTTTATACGATAATGAATGTAATGTGAACCATAAACACTAGGGGTAAATTATGTTAATCTTGACTACGTAGTGATTACGGACGACAAATAAGACAGTAAATTAGGAGAAATTTATGAGCGACATTTAAGATTGTAATCAGTTAGGTTGTAGATCATTGCGGTCGGTAGCACTTTTACTAGTTTTTTTTTTTAAATATTGTTGAATATTAATTTGAAATTACGTTATATACATCAAGAAAAAAAAAAGAAAAGTAAAAGTCTTTATACGTCCCAACGCTGAACATTGGTCACCTCTCCTTTCCGTTTTCATATACCCTCGAAATATCTATAATTTCCCTACACCTGCAGTTTTACTTGCAATGTTTATGTTTACGTCAACATCAGTACATGGTAAATGAGTATTTAAAGCTTTTTTGGTAAATGAGTATTTAAAATTTTTTCATTTTACATAAAGTGTTTTTATTTTACAATAAACATATAAGA